GCAGTAGTCTGAAACTGTTCCATCAAAACACTCGACCATTCTAAAATCGAGTGGATGGAATCCCATTGGACTTTATAATTAAGAGAACTCCCAAACCATATTGGACGGACCCAATCACAACCAAACAATAAATGTTCAACCGATTCGGGCCCGGAATGACAAATGGGACACTGATCTGAGTACGCACATTTCCGTTTAAACAGGTTCTCCCGAGAGGCTAAAGCATTGTTGCTTACCCGCCACCAGAAATGGCGAATTTTCGGTGCGACTTTGAGAGCCCAAATGAGTTTCCAATACTTACTAGGAGGTTGGAAAGATGATGATGGTTTATGGGCCAAACTATTAGTGAAAACTGATCTGGCAATGTGATATCCCGAGTTAACCAAATACAGACCTTTAGAATCATAGTGCCAGACCTGAGAATCTGCCATGGGGACCAATGCCGTGGGAATAAAAGATATTGCTTGGAGTTCAGAATTTGACACAAGGGGACGGAGGGCTGCCAGCTTCCACCTCTTTGAAGTGGGATCAATAGCATCCTCTACTTTCTCAATTTCACAGTCCATAGGTTTTGAAGAGGATATTTTAAAATCCGGGAGAGACGAAACCCATCTATCAACCCAAAAGCGAATCGAAGACCCATTATGAGCTTGCCACTGGACACCCTGTTTTCGAAGCATACATAAAGCTAGTATGGGGGAAATAAATGCCTTTCAAAATGCGGGCACTGAAAGACTGCAGAAATTGAAGCAACCTCCAGCCTTGTCTTGCTAGCAAAGCCAAATTGAACAAATTAAAGTCTCTAAATCCCAATCCGCCTTGAAATTTTGATAGCACCAGTTTCTCCCAACCAACCCAATGAATTCCTTTCCCATCCATATCCCCTCCCCACCAAAATCTCCGGATATATAAATTCAATTTTGCACAGAATTTTTTGGGAAGAGCAAAGCAAGCCATTCCATACGCAGGTATTGCCTGAACCACTGCCTTGATCAGAGTTTCCCTTGCAGCTTGCGAGAGCAATTTCATCTTCCAACCCTGAAGTTTTGACATCACTTTTTCAATAAGGAACTCATAGGCCTCCGCTTTTGATCTCCCCCAAAATGAGGGTAAGCCCAAATACTTTGCATTGGGGAGTGAAACCTGAAGCCCAGAGAGAGAACAAATGGAGCTACACAGAGATGGGGAAACGTTGGAGGAGAATTGAACACTAGACTTGTCAAAATTAATCAGTTGTCCTGATGCTACGCAGTAAGTTGACAAAAGATCCAATACTTTTTGACACTCCGAAATATCTGCCTTTAAGAATAGAAGCGCATCATCAGCAAATAAGAGATGGGACAGAGTTGGGCATTGCCGTGTAATCTTGAAACCAGAAATTTGCTGGTCTCGAAGACTTTTTGAGAGAAGATTTGAAAGGACATCCGCAACTAGGATAAAAAGGTATGGAGATAAAGGATCCCCTTGGCGAAGCCCACGGGTGGGGGCAAAAGAGGCCATTTGTTCACCATTGGCACAAACTGAGAAGCGCACAGTTGAAACACATTCCATCACCCATTGGACCCACCTTGGATGAAAACCCATCTTCTGTAAAACTGCAGCCAAGAAATCTCATTCTATACGATCATAGGCTTTGTTGAAATCGAGTTTTATGGCCATGTAACCCACATTTCCCCCCCTCTTCAGTTTCAAAGAATGAAAAGCTTCGTGAGCTATAAGAATATTGTCCTGGATTAACCTCCCTGGGACAAAAGCTGACTGGTTTGGAGAAATCAAAAGACCGAGAACTTTTTTCAAACGATTCGCTAAAATTTTTGTAATGATCTTAACAGTAAAATTACAAAGACTGATAGGGCGGAACTGTGATAACTTTGACGGATTATCCACCTTAGGGATCAAAACCAAATTTGTTTGGTTGAGCTCTTTGAGCAGATGCCCTCCCATGAAAAAACTATGGACAGCGAGACAAACTTGGTCGCCCACCACATCCCAATAATTTTGATAAAAAAACCCAGGATAACCGTCCAGCCCAAGTGCTTTAAAGGGACCGAGCTGAAAAATCGCTTCACGAATTTCTTCATTTGATAACAATGAAGTCAGCTGATGATTCATTGATTCAGTTACCAGTGGCTGAACCACAGAAAGGGTGTCGGTAAAATCTCTAAGCCCTGAACTTGAAAACAGCTGGGAGAAATACTCAAGCAGATGGGAATTAATTGTAGACTCAGACTCTAGCCAACTTCCAGTCCCATCCTGAAGTTTAAGTATCTAATTTCGCTGACGACGTTGAATCATAGTGGCATGAAAAAAACTAGAATTTTTATCCCCATACTTCAGCCATCTTACCCGGGACCGTTGGTGGAGGTACATTTCTTCTCTGGCCAATAACTCTTCCAAGTTAGTTTCAATCTGATGCTAACGCTCAAAATTAGAATCAGAAGTAGGCTGCAATTGGATAGATGCCAAGTCAGCTTTCGGTCGATCAATCTGAAGTTTGTTGTTCCCAAAACACTCCTTACTCCAACTTTTTAACCTAACCTTGCACAACCTAAGCCTTTGAACCAGCTGGAACATTTGGGATCCGGTTTGGGAAAAACTCCAATTCGATTTAATCACATCAAGACACCCGGGGCTAGTAGACCACATAGTTTCAAATTTAAACAATCGTGGGATCTTTTTTAATGGGACACAACAATTGAGGATAAGAGAGCAATGATCCGACCCGAAAAGAAGTTCGCGAAACACTTGGGCAAAAGGAAAGAGGCCACGCCATTCAACTGTAGCCACAGCCCTATAAAATTGGTTTCATTGAAAAACATTAAGCGGTTTGCAAGAAAATTAAATTTTCGTAACTATCGACGGGTCTGGACAGAATCTGGACAGCGCTGGAATGTTTTCTAAATAACTTAAAATCTGGAAAAGCAAACCCATTTCTGAAAAATGTTCTAGAAACTAGATCAAATTCTCTACGAATCATAGGAAGACCGAGTCCGGTGAAGGATCTAAACTAGCCTTTCATTTTAATCTTTATGTGATATTAAATCTGGAAATATTTGTTATGTATGGATGTTTTATGTCCTGGTATTCATGAAAATGTGTTATGATCATATCTTGGCAAGATATTTTATGTGTTATGTTATGTTATTTATCTTTCTCATCTTAAGGATGCATGTTTATGTGGATATCATTATCTTGTAAGTTGGACTAACCTTGACTTAAAACTTTTAACTCAACGGGAAACCTAATTGGGAGAGTATTGAGTAATGGAAAGATGAGAAATTTTGTTATATGGTTGTTGGGATGCATCCCTAATTGGAAGTTAAAGTCTTGCACAAGTGGTTTTCGGAACTCTTGAACGGAGCGGTTGTATTCGGACCCTAGGTGGTTTGGTGTGAGGAGAGTTTTGGGCAAGGCCCTATTTCACCGTCTCTTTTGAGGCCCTGCGGTTGGCACTACGCGGTATATAACCGATGGTAGGCATCCGAGGTTAGTTCTGCAACAAAGCAGCAAAAGAGGGGGCATACCGAATAATCCGAGTCCGATTCTTGTGGTTGGGAGGACAAAATCTCTTTGGGGGATTTCTAGTTTACTAACAGTTAACTTGTAACCATTTATTTATTTGTTGTGTTGTGTATCATGCTCTACTACTTGATGTTATATTTGTGACTGTGTATTGGACTCGGGACAAAGAGTTGGGGGGTGTGTGTGTTTACTGGGCATTCAAAGCTCACGGCGTGTTATGCCAGGTGCCGAAGAGGAACATATAGCTGGAGATGACGAGCCTGAAACATTCGAAGACCTTTGGCTATCTTAGAAAAGTTAAAAATTTCTCTTTTGATATTTTGTAAGACTCGTATGAAGATTTAAATTTTCTTTGGGATGTAATGTAATGGAACAAGCTTTTGAAATTAATATTATTATGGTTATTATGTATTGGTATTCTATAGAAGTAGACGTATACACCTTAACAGTGACTCTCTCTTGGCTACAATCAATAGTGTAGTATCGGGGCGTTACAACTTGGTATCAGAGCCTAGGTTCAACCCTTAACCAACGCAACCCAATATGTGACTCTAGAAGCCCTTACCCCTTTATCTTATTTTATCTATCACGCTACTATATTTAAGGTAGACTGACAAATAAAAATCTTTTTCCACCTTAGGATGTCAGCGGGAGACTATCTAGGACGCGATATTAGTCTCGACTCGTGGGGTACTTTCCGTATGCAAGAAAGGAGGGCCATGTCTGTCAGCCCCAACTTTAGCCGCCGACGCTGTGTAAGTGCCGCCGAGGAAATGATCAGAACAGAGATACGTAAGGTGGAAATGGAGTACTCCCGCTATACGTGGGAGCAGAAGAGGTCTCTGGTGCGGCGCTGCCTACAATTTTTGAGCTGGGCAGCGAAGAAGGCGGTCTAAATGGAGAAAGATGATCAGAGGATAGACTCCTTGATACACCGAACTTTGACCACCATAGCATACCACCGACCACCGACTCAGGCTGAAAGCTACGTATCTTGTTGTCAGGAGCCAAGCAACAATCAACTAAGGAATATAGTGCAACCACCAGAACAAAATGGAGTAACCCCAGCCTACCCTATAGAGGTGTCGTCTGAACACAATCCCCCCTCACCAACTACACCCCCCGCTCTCCGAACCAAGCCATTGACTCCGCTGAGGAAGATCCAGAAGAAGACTTTGATTGGTCGGGAAACGAGAACTAGTTCAAGAAATAGTAAAGCTAGACTTTTGTAAGATCCGCTGATGAGATCCTTAGAATAAGACAGCCTGAACTTTGTAATGCATAGATGCCCTTTAAATGTAACTCCGATTAGGAGCCGTTTTGGAATGATGCCTATTATAATATACGAATGATGTGTTGATCTATGTTATTGACTGTCATTTGTTTTAGTACACTCTAAGGAAACTGAACTTTCATTTCAAATCTAAATAATAAGATTTTCTAAAACTGGAACCAACTCACCACGTGCCATGAACAGAATGGTGGACACGCGCGCTAATGACTATGCCGGAACCAGCAACAACGCGCAAAACCGCCCCAGAAACCAATGCGGACCCGTCCCCATAGGGGCTAACATTCCTAATAATCCAGGACATCAAATTTTGGAGGGATTAGGGCAAGTAAGGAACAATCGGCAGAATAAGAGGACTTGTCTCTTTTCTGAGTTTCAAAAGCAAAGGCCCCCAAAGTTCACTGGTGTGCCGGACCCAAAGGTAGCTGAAAACTGGTTTCGGCAGATAGAGAAAATGCTAGACACCATGGGCATAATCGAGGCCGCTGATAGAATAGCTTTGGCAGTATTCGAGCTTGATGATGAGGCTGACCACTGGTGGGAGTTAATCAAGAACACTCGTGATGTAGCGAGCCTATCATGGAACCAGTTCAGGGAACTGTTCCTAAATAAATATTTTCCAAATACGGTCCGTCGAGAGCAAGTCAAGGAATTCCAAAACCTGGAACAAGGAAACATGACCGTGACCCAATATGCTGCAAAATTTGAAGAACTAGCCCGTTACGCAACTAGATTTGTAGCAAATGATGAAGAGAAGGCAAGGATGTTCGAGTGGGGGTTGGACCTTACAATCAGGGGAAGAGTTCTTCCGCAACGACTCCCCACATTTGCTGGGGTGTTGGATACGACGTTAGAGTCTGAGAGGGAAGTAACAGACGCTAGAAAGGCTTGGAACAAGAGGAGAGGGAGTCAGACGTCTGTTGGACCTCAAAGGAACCAAAAAGGAAACATGACGCCAAAGCCCTACTCCAGACCACAACCACAACAGCAACAGATCCAGAGAGGAGGCTATTAACAAAGGCCGACGGGACAAATCCAGTGCTTTCATTGCCAACAATTAGGGCACAAAAAGAGCGAATGCCCCCAACTCCCTCCATCTAGGTACCAAGGAGGAGGTTCCGGAGCAAATGCCCAGGCATTAGGTGGGCAAAAGCCTTGGACGAACAAGACAGGATCGACTGGACTGCAGCACCAGAAGAATAGGGGAACTCAAAACACCAAGACCAGTGGCAACCAGAAGGCAACCGGCAGAGTCTTTGCCTTGCAAGAGGAAGAAGTAGACCCGTCTGTTATTAAGGGTAATTTAGTATTATACAATTCTTGGGTGCATGTTTTATTTGATACTGGTGCATCACATTCCTTTATATCCTCTGCTTGCGCTCAGTCATTAGGACTTGTATGTGAACCCTTAGAAACTGCCTTAAATGTAATGTCACCTATGGGAGGATGCATTCAGATAGGATTGATCTGTAAGGACTGTAAGATAGGAATGTCAAACCTACACTTAACGTGCGACCTTCGTGTCATGGAAATGTCAGACTTCGATATTATTTTGGGCATGGACTGGTTGTCTGCCCACCGAGCAGTGATCAACTGTCATCAGAGGAAAGTGGTAGCTCACACACTAGATGGAACTCATTTCCAGTTTAAGGGGGATAGACAAGACCCGATGGCTTCAACAAAACATAGGACGCAGTGGTGCGATCAAATTGCAAGTAGGATAGCAAGTCTGATTTTGAATGAGCAAGGCCAAGGAGAATTAGAACTTCCACGCATAGTATGTGAATATGCAGATGTATTTCCTACGGAGTTAACGGGATTGCCACCAACCCGGGAAGTAGATTTGAGCATCGAGCTACAACCTGGAACCACCCCAATATCCATGGCCCCGTATCGTATGGACAAGCAGAATTACGAGAATTGAAGACACAACTACAGGAATTGCTCGAGAGAGGATTCATTAGGCCAAGTATTTCACCATGGGGAGCACCCGTGTTGTTCGTTAAGAAGAAGGATGGGTCGTTGAGGCTATGCATAGATTACCGTCGACTTAATCGAGTCACGATTAAAAACCGATACCCACTCCCAAGAATTGATGACCTTTTTAACCAACTTAGAGGCTCAGGGTGCTATTCAAAGATCGATCTCAGGTCAGGTTACCATCAACTACGAGTCAAGGAGGAGGACATACCAAAAACTGCCTTTCGTACTAGATATGGCCACTATGAGTTCGTAGTAATGCCCTTCGGACTAACCAATGCACCGACAGTATTCATGAGCCTAATGAATAAGATCTTTAGACCATACCTCGATTAGTTTGTGGTAGTATTTATTGATGACATCTTGGTATATTCAAGATCTAAAGAAGAGCATGAGCAACATTTAAGGACTGTCCTTCAAGTTCTTAGGGATAATCGGTTATATGCCAAGGCAAGCAAATGTGAGTTCTGGTTGAATGAAGTAAAATTCTTAGGGCATGTAGTATCAGAGAATGGGATTGCGGTGGATCCAAACAAGGTGGAGGCAGTATTAGACTGGAAACAACCAAAAACTGTGTCAGAAATTCGCAATTTCTTAGGATTGGCCGGTTATTGCCGGAGGTTCATCCAAGATTTCTCCAAACTAGCCAAACCAATGACTCATTTGATGCAAAAAGGAGTAAAGTATGAGTGGGACGAAGCTTGCAAAAAATCCTTTCAAGAGTTAAAGAAGAGGTTAACTAGTGCACCAATTTTGACCATCCTAGAACGAGAAGTGAGGTATACTGTGTATTGCGATGCGTCTAAAGAAGGGTTAGGGTGCGTGCTCATGCAGAATAGAAAGGTAGTCACGTATGGATCCAGGCAGTTGAAACCTCATGAGCGTAACTACCCAACACATGACCTGGAGTTAGCAGCCGTAGTTTTTGCCCTAAAGCAATGGCGACATTACCTATATAGGGAATAATTCGAGATTTTCACAGATCACAAGAGTTTGAAGTATCTATTTACACAGAAGGACCTCAACTTGAGACAGAGACGATGGATGGAGTATCTTGAGGATTTCCAGTTCACTCTCTCATATCATTCTGGTAAAGCCAATGTAGTAGCAGATGCTCTCAGTCGTAAGAGCAGAGGGATGATGGCTAGGATCTCCATCAAAGAGTAGGATATGGTTAAGACACTCAATGAGTTCAGGATCCAAATAGAATCTCAAGATGCAAACGCATATCTTAGTGCACAGAATGTGATGCCTAAGTTGATCATGGAGGCCCAGAAGCACGATCAAGAGGTAGCCTATATCAAGGGACGTCTGGAATCAGGAGAACCCATGCTCAACTGGGAAATTCACCCCGATGGGAGTTTAAGATACCGAGGTAGATTGTTTGTACCAGGTGACGAGTTACTTCGAGAAAAGGTACTTAAGGAATGTCATCATTCTACATTTGCAGTACATCCAAGAGGGACTAAAATGTACCAAGATTTAAAGAGGCAGTATTGGTGGAATGGAATTAAGAAGGAGGTGGCTAAATTCGTGGCCAAATGTCTAACATGCCAACAAGTGAAGGCGGAGCATCAAAAACTAGGGGGAATGTTGCAACCTCTACCAAGAGCCGAATGGAAGTGGGAGTACGTGACAATGGACTTTGTGACAGGTTTGCCTAAGTCGCCTAGAGGGCGCAATGCTATATGGGTAATAGTGGATCGCCTCACCAAGTCAGCACATTTCTTACCTTATAGGATGACCGACACTTTAGAATCCATGTGCAGGCTCTACATTGGAGAGATCATTCGACTACATGGAATTCCAGTATCTATTGTGTCAGACCGTGATCCTCGGTTCACCTCTTAATTCTGGAGAAGTTTGCAGGAAGCTCTTGGTACTGAGTTATATTTTAGCACCGCCTTTCACCCGTAGACGGATGGACAATCTGAACGCACCATCCAGACACTCGAAGATATGTTGAGAGCGTGTGCAATGGATTTTCAAGGAAGTTGGGAACGACACCTACCCCTAACTAAGTTCGCCGATAACAATAGCTTCCAAGCTAGCATTGGTATGGCACCCTTTGAAGCATTATATGGACGACCATGTAGATCGCCGATTTGTTGGGCGGAAGTGGAAAATGTGATAATTTATCTGTTTAGAAATATCTGTTTTGGGCTATTGATGGAGAATAGCCATGATTCTTGTAGAAACTGCATGTTGATTAGGTAAATTGAAACTAATCAATTGGAATATGTCATTGAATATGACGGTTGGATGTAAACATTGTATATGTGATTGAATTGGTCATTGTATATGACAACTTGTTTAAATACATTGTATATACATATCTTGTTTGGGAGGAGATAGGGGATGTACTGTAACGCTCCACTACTTGCTGGCCCAAATAACTTGTGGGTCGACCAACAATATTCAAAAGCTTAAGTCCAAGTTATTTAGTAGCAAGGTAGTGGTGCATTATATGCCCAACATCACCCATAATCTTATCATTCCACAAACTTAACGCTCCGATACTACACTATTGATTGTAGCCAAGGGAGAGTCACTGTTAAGGTGTATACGTCTACTTCTATAGAATACCAATACATAACAACCATAATAATATTAATTTCAAAAGCTTGTTCCATTACATCCCAAAGAAAATTTAAATCTTCATACGAGTCTTACAAAATATCAAAAGAGAAATTTTTAACTTTTCTAAGATAGCCAAAGGTTTTCGAATGTTTCAGGCTCGTCATCTCCAGCTATATGTTCTTCTTCGACACCTGGCATAACACGCCGTGAGCTTTGAATGCCCAGTAAACACACACACACCCCAACCCTTTTTTCCCGAGTCCAATACACAATCACAAATATAACATCAAGTAGTAGAGCATGATACACAACACAACAAATAAATAAATGGTTACAAGTTAACTGTTAGTAAACTAGAAATCCCCCAAAGAGATTTCGTCCTCCCAACCACAAGAATCAGACTTGGATTATTCAGCATGCCCCCTCTTTTGCTGCTTTGTTGCAGAACTAACCTCGGATGCCTACCATTGGTTATATACCGCGTAGTGCCAACCGCAGGGCCTCAAAAGAGACGGTGAAATAGGGCCTTGCCCAAAACCCTCCTCACACCAAACCACCTAGGGTCCGAATACAACCGCTCCGTTCAAGGGTTCTGAAAACCACTTGCGCAAGACTTTAACTTCCAATTAGGGACGCATCCCAACAACCATATAACACATTTTCTCATCTTTCCATTACTCAAGTGCTCGAAAACCCAATATCCTCCCAATTAGGTTCCCGTTGAGTTAAAAGTTTTAAGTCAAGGTTAGTCCAACGTACAAGATAATAATATCCACATAAACATGCATCCTTAAGATGAGAAAGATAAATAACATAACACATAAAATATCTTGCCAAGATATGATCATAACACATTTTCATGAATACCAGGACATAAAACATCCATACATAACAAATATTTCCAGATTTAATATCACCTAAAGACTAAAATGAAAGGCTAGTTTAGATCCTTCACCGGACTCGGTCTTCCTATGATTCGTAGAGAATTTGATCTAGTTTCTAGAACATTTTTCGGAAACGGGTTTGCTTTTCCAGATTTTAAGTTATGTAGAAAACATTCCAGCGCTGTCCAGATTCTGTCCAGACCCGTCAATCGTTACAAAAATTTGATTTTCTTGCAAACCGCTTAATTTTTTTCAATGAAACCAATTTTATTTGAAAGCTAACTTCTTAAGGAAAATTTTGACCTAAAATAGAGGTCAAGAATAATTTTATACATTTTTCTGGAATTTTTTTAAGTGGGCTGTAAAAACAGTTTCTAGGGTAGATGTCCAAAATAAGAAGATTAATAAGAAAAGGGTTCCACCCAAAGGAAAGTTTTCATTTCTTTTGTGAAGAAAACATGCTAACCAGCATATATTTAACTCAGAAAGTTTACTTGAAGGTGTGTCCTTGGAAAGTTGAGAGATTGATATGGAGAAAAAGATGGTTTTGTACCGAGATGGGAAAATACAAAAGAGATAGAATCAATACTCAACTCTTAGCATTTTTAACACAAGTAACTAATAAATAACAGATCTGAAACATTATCTAGAACCCTAAGACATGTATTTGAAAAAGGAAAAATGAAAGAGAAGGTTGTGTTGTGGCTTACATGCTAAGATTTGAACAAGATGGCTCTCTTCTCCCTTCCTCTTCCTCTCAAAATTCCTCTCTTGTTCTCTTTCCTCTCCTTAGGTCGAATGTGGAAGTGTGAGAGTGTTGCTTGGTGATATTTATAGGCAACCTTGGTGTAGTTGGTATTGAAAGGTTGTCATTATAGCCTACTAGTTAGGATATGAAAGAACCACTACTTGAAAAATGAAAGGACCCTAGCCCACTAGTTAGGTTATGAATGAACCACTACTTTGAGATTTAAATGAACACTAATTGATATTAAATGAACACTAAACACTAATTGATATTAAATGAACACTAACTAGAATTAAATGAACACTAGTTAGACTATGAATGGACACTAGTTGGAATATGAATGGCCACTGTTAAGGATATTCTTGTTTTGATAAAACAACAAAAACAATATTAATCAACTAGATTCAAAATAATTCTCATAACTGAGGGGCTTTAAGCAAATGATTAAAACCTTTTTTTTTTTTTTTTTTAAAGAGAAAACATTTTTCAAGGCTTCACAACCTATCCCCCTTAAAACAATTTCGTCCTCGAAATTCAACTACATACTGCCTTCGAAAAGCTCGGGGTAGTTTGCCTTCACCTAATCCTGGCGTTCCCAAGTAGATTCCTCAATTCCACGATGACGCCATAGCAATTTTACCAAGTGAACTGTTTTGCCTCTAAGGTTCTTCTCTCGGCTATCCTGTATTGCTACCGGTCCTTCTTTAAATGTAGCATCTTTGTCAAGGCTGA